TCCCCAATGCCGTCGTTGTCAGCATCCTCCTGCCCAGAATTGGGCGTCAGGCGGCAGTTGTCCTGCAGGCACAGCCAGCATTAGGGATGGGGAGGAGACAAGGTCTGGAGCACAGCCCTGCTGTGGATTCTGTGCCCTGCAGCCCCTGTGCCTCCTCTCCAGGAGCTCACCTGCTTGCAGTGCTTGTTGTTGTCGATGCAGGGCAGGGGCTCGTCCGGGTACCCATCCAGGTCTGTGTCTGGCCCGCACACGTTGCCATTGCCAGCCCAGCCCACGTTGCACTGAATAAAGAAGAGATCAGGGGCTGGAAAGGGCCCTGGCAGAACAAATGCTGCCATGCTGTACCCCACACACCCTCCTCCCGTCCCTGTCCCCTGCTCACTGCACAGGAGATCTCCCCGTTCCTCTCAAACAGGCAGAAGCCGTTGATGTCGCAGGGGTTGGAGGTGGGAGTGCTGCAGGACCTCTGTGGGACGCAGCCCGATGTTTGGTTCCCCACAAAGCCCGACTTGCAGGGCCCGCACTTGTAGGAGCCCTGGGGGAGAGAGGGCAGGGGTGGGATGAGGGGACCTGAGTGGCCCCGAGAGCCAGGGAGGGAACAGGGCAGCGCTGCTCACCAGCGTGTTGGTGCAGATGGAGTTGGGGTCGCAGCCCCCATTGTTCCCATCGTTGCATTCATCAATATCTGTGCAAACCTGTGAGCAGTGTGGGAGAAATGCTCACCTGGGGCCTTTCCCTGTGGGCGGCTCTGCCCATTCCTGCCCCCAGGAAGCTGTCCTCCTCCACACTGCATCGTCCACCCTGTCCTGCACTCCAGAGATCCCACAGGGACCTGGCCGAGTCCCGTGGCACTGCACTCACCTGCTTGCTGGCCTTGGCATAGTCCACCCCCACGCCAGAGACGGTGTTGCCTCGATAGCCACGGGGACAGGGCTCGCAGCGAAACCCCGGGGCTGTGTTGATGCACTTGGAGCCAGGGAAGCAGGGGTTGGCATAGGCACACTACAACACCAGGAGAGACACAGGCTTCATCCTCGGGCACAGCATCCCACTTCTCGCTTCTCGGGGTGGCTGCTGCCCCAGGCTGTCCCGGGGACAGGGGGATCCACCTCTTCTCGAGAGGAAGCCTCCTCTGCACGCATAGCCTTGGCAGTGCCAGGGCTGCTGATGCCCCCCAGACCGTGCCCACCTCCTCGATGTCAGTGCAGTGTGTGCCATTGCCCTCCAGCCCTGGCGGGCAGGGCCCACAGCGGTACCCAGGGTACTCGTACGTCTCCATGCAGTCCACACCGCTGAAACAGGGATTGGGGTTGCAGCGGGACCGGTGCTCATGGAAGCCTGAGGAGAGGAGAGGCAGGTGAGCGGTGAGACAGGGTGGCCCTTTGCCCTCCAAGGTGGGAGCAGAGCCTCGCCAGCACTCACCGCAGACCTGGCACTCCATGATGGTGTTGCGGATCAGAGACATCTCCTTCACCTGCAAGGCAGCAGAGCACGGAGCATCAGGAGGGTGCTGGCACTTTGCTCTAGGAAAATCCAGCCCAAGGAGTGTCAGTATCCCCTCAGTCCCACCTGGTCCCTAATGTCTTCCCGCAGCTCGGTCAGGATCCGGTTGAAGAGGGTCAGCTGCGTGACCAGTGCCTTGGTCTGCTCACCTGCCAGCAGCAGAAAGGAAAGGTTAATCTCAAGACAAAGCCTCCCAGGGCTGTGGGCCAGGACTGCTCTGCCTGTGAGGATGAGGCACCTGACAGCCTGTTTTTCTCCCCGGGTAAACAGGGCCCCTGTTTCTGTAGCACACCCCACACCCTCTGATCCCACATGGGGCACTGGGACAGGCTGTGCAGGGATTTCTGCCTCCTTGGAGCCCTAAATGCCTCACACCAGGCAACGTGGGAAGCAGAGCAGGGACTTACCCAGGATGGAGGCCAGCACACTCGTCACTGCAAGGAGAGAGATGAGACATTACCAAATGCTGCTGTCACACCCCAGCAGTGTCACTTCACATGGTCATTCCTGGTCAGCACATGTGCAGCACTGTAGCTCCCACCTGTGTGGGAGACACTGGGCCAGGAGGGACAGAAACATCCCTCTGTGCTGTCACCCTCCACCTCCTTATGCCACGGCCCACACAGGTGACTCTATAAGCCCTTCAAGCCATTACCTGCAGTGTGAATGGACTCATCTCCTTGGAAAGGGCACTCACTCAGGGCCCCCACACGGCTCATGGACCCTCCCAGGATCAGCTTCATCGACTCTACAAACCCCTGATGTGTGTGGGGAAATGCAGTCAACACAGGGGGCTCTGCCCATCCCCAAGGGTGCATCGACTGGAGTCTCCATCCCCCTGGCACTCACCTGCATCCTCTGGTAGGCCTTCAGCCCTGTGCGCACCTCGATGGACTCCACCTCGGCCAGGGGGATCTCGGACAGCTCAGGCAGCCCCACGCTGGAGTCCATCTGCTTGCAGTCGACGTAGAGCTCCACGCTCAGCGTGTCCCTGCGCAGCCCGCTCAGGCGCACGATGACAGAGTGGCTCTGCCCGTCCGCCACGTGCGCATGCTGCAGGTTCACCGAGTGCACCTTGTTGTCCTCCCGCAGGTACCGCACCAGGACTGCGGAGGAGCAGGAAGGGGCCATCAGCTCCCCCCCAGCACTGGCAGCACCCTGGCACCGGTGTGTGCGCGTTGCTCTTCCCTGCAGGAACTCTGTCCCGTTTGTCTCAGAGCACTGGGGCGAGAGCAGAGCCGGTCCATCCCCAGGAAAGGGCACCCACCTACCTTTGTTGATCTTCCCCACGACAGAGACCTCCAGCCATCGGGTGTTGTCCTTCTTGGAGTAGAGGCCGAAGAGGGTCCCCCCCTGCTTGGGGGGCAGGCGGAAGGTGGAGAGGAGGTACACGTCGTTGACAGTCAGAAGCTCCATGCGGATCTTGTGGGCCACGCTGGCCATCTGCCGAGCCTCGCTCACCAGCAACAGGTCGATGACTGCGGGACACGAGCATCGGAGTCGCCTCTGCACCGGCAGCCGCAGCTCCGGCCGGTGACTACGGGGATGCCCGGTGCGGTCAGAGCGGGGGTGGGGTGGGGGTGTCCCTGGACCGCCGGGCTCTGGGGGAACCAGGGAAGCCCCGGGGGCCCCGGGGCCACCCCCGCGCGGTGGCGCTCCAGGACCGGCCGCGTATCCGAGAGGGACCCGCGGAGCCCCCGCATCGGCGAGACCGGCAGAGTCGCGGCCCGGAGCCCTCCACGCTGTCCGGGCTTCCCTGCATCCCCCTCCTCGGAGTCCCCCGCGGGCCAGCCCCAACAAGGGGCGGCCGGACAGGGAGATCCCGGAGGGACGGTCGGGCCCCCGGTACCCGCTCGGGGGAGCGCGGACAACTCGGTCCCGCTGCCGCACGGCTGCCCGCCTGTTCCGTGCAGACGCACCGGGCAGACCGAGAGGGGCTCCGGCGCCGGGGTCAGCCCCCGCCGCGACATTCCCCCGCGGCCCCGAGCCAGCATCGGAACAGCAGCGGCCACCCCGCGCCTCGGGGTGAACGTTCCAACGTTCCCGCTACTCCAGCCCAGCTCCCCTGGGGCGAGCAAAGCCGCTGTCAGAGAGCGGCCGTGGGACCGGGTCTGCCGCCGCCGACCCCCGACTGCCGCCCGTCCCGCCGCCCCTTCGGGGCCGCCCCACCGCCGCCCCGAACCCCTCCGGTACCTTGCAGCTCCTGACGCGCCGCGGCGGCGGCGCCCAGCAGGAGCAGCGCCAGGAGCGCGGGGCTCCCCGGTGCCCCCATGGTGCCGCCGGTGCCGCCGGTGCGGTGCGGAGCGCGGCGGGGCGGGGTGGCGCACGGGGGAGGGGCCGGCGGGGCCGGCAAGGAGGAAACAAAGAGCCGTCAATCACCGGACGCATCCCGGGGACACCGGCGGGCGACCCACGGCGGCTCCGGCCCCGGAGGGGAGCACCGTGCCCGTGTCGGCGCGGCGCACTAGGCCCGGGGCTCCGGGGATCCCCCGGCGCTGCCGGCCCTGGGGCAGACCCCGCTCACAGCTCCGGTTCACTGGGAGGTCAGGCGGGCGGGCTGGGGCAGCATCTCAGCCCGGGAGAGCGGGACTGGCCGTGGGGACGCTTGTACGGAGGTGCCCCACGCCGCGGAGCCCCCAGGGCCGGCAGAGCCCCGGGCCGGTCCGTACCGCCGGGGGATGCTCCGGCCGCTGAGCCGCTCCCGTGGAGCTCCGGCCAAGGCGGGCGGGCGGCCCGGGCGTCCCGGCCGTGTTTACAGCTGTTTCCCCCGGTGCCATAACAACGGGCTGAGCCCAGCCTCGGGACTGCTCCGGCCCCGCGCCCCCGGTCCGGCTCCAGGCCAGCGATCCCGCGTAACGAGGGGGTGCGGGAGATGGAGGGGGGCGGTCCGGAGCCGCACACGGGGCGTTTTCCCTCTGCCGCTGCCAGCGGGCTCCCGGCCCGGCTGCTTTCCATGGAGATGTGCGGGGATGAGCGGTGCGGGGCCGAGCAGGGTGGGCAGTGCGGAGCTGGGGGCCCATGAGAGGAGATGCGGGGCACAGCAGGACTGTGCGGTACGGGACCAGGAAGCGTGAGCCGTATAGAGCAGAGCTGAACCATGCGAGGCAATGTGGGTCCATGCGGGGAAATGCGGGGCACAGCAGGACTGAGCAGTGTGGAGCTAAGTTGAGCTGTGCGGGGCAATGCAGAGAGATGCGGGGCACAGCAGGGTGAGCAGTGTGGAGCTGAGCTGAACGGTGCCGGGCACAGCAGGGCTGTGTGACACAGTGCGGGGCACAGCGGGGTTAGCAGTGTGGAGCTGAGCTGAGCTGAGCTGAGCTGTGCGGGTCACAGCAAGGCTGTGAGGTGCAGGGTCTGCGGGACGTGGGCTGTGCGCCAAGAACCCTGCAGACCCCACCATTCCCACCCCCCGACCCCGCTCGGCTCCGCTCTATCGCGGAGCCCCCGCTCGGTGCCGCCCCGCGGCGGGGGCGGGCGGGGCCGCCCGTCCGGTTCCGGGTCGGCGGAAGATGGCGGCGCCCATGGAGCTGTACTGCTGGGCCGGGGGATGGGGGCTGCCCTCGGTGGACCCCGACTGCCTGGCTGTGCTGGTGAGCGGCGGGGCCGGTGCGGGGCCGGTGCGGGGTCCCGCGGGCAGACCCCGCTCTATCGCTCCTTCCCTCCCGCAGACCTACGCGCGGTTCACGGGGGCGCCGCTGAAGGTGCACCGGGTCACCAGCCCCTGGAGGAGCCCCTCCGGTAAGGGCCCCGCCGAGGATACCGGCACCACCGCGACCTCCCACCCCCCATCGCAGCCCCGTGGTCCCGTTGCCCCCATTCCTCACCAATGTTCCCTCCACACATTACGCCCCCCACCCCATCACCCTATCACCCCATCACCCCATCACTGCACAGCCTCCCACCTCATCTTATCCCTCACGTCCTGTGGCCCCACAGCACTGGACCCCCTGCCCTATTGCACCCTTCTATCGTACTGCACCCCTCTTGCCCTATGGCCTCTCCTCCCCACGTGGCACCATCCTTATATTGCACCCCCCTATACCTCATCACACCCCCATTACCACCACTGCCATCTTATTACACCCTTTGCCCCATCACACCCTCCCACCCCATTGCATCCCTCATGTCCTGTGCCCCTGACTGCACCTTCACACCCTCTCATCTTATTGTACCCCCTTGTCGTGTGTCCCTCACGCCACCGCACTTCCCTCTATCCCGTCACACCCCCACCATGTCATCACCATCCCTGTCCCATCACACTCCCTCTTGTCCTATTGCACTCCCTCATCCCATTGTGATTCGTGTCCCATTGAAAACTCTCATCACACCCCCTACCTCACTTCACCCCCCATTTTTCTGTGCCATCACTGCACTCTTACGCCCTGTTGCTCCTCCTGTCCATCACCCACCCCCACTTCCCACTGCAACCCCCTTGTCCCAGCACATTCCCCATTTCTCATCACACAGTTTCTACCCCCTCCCGTACACTGCTCTGTCCCCACCTCACACCCCTGTCACTTCCTCGTGCCCCTCATCCAAGCATGGGGGTCCATCCCCCATTCCAACCCCCTGCACCCCTCACCTGCTCGGGGTGTCCCTGGGCACAGTGACCGCAGTCCCCACTCCCCCTGCCCGCAGGGCACCTGCCCGCCCTGAGAACACGGGACGAAGGAACCATCTCCAAACCTCAGCAGATTATAACACACCTCAGGAAACAGGTACAGAGGGGCTTGGAGCCCCTCCTGCCCTGGGCTGCGGGGTACTGGAGCCCCTCAGGGAGGAGGGAATTTCGTTGTGTCACCCATGGGTGGGATTTGCTGCGTTCTGTGGGACCAAACCTAGTGTTTGCTCTGCAGAAGTACAACGCTGACTATGACCTGTCAGCCACGCAGAGCGCAGACACGCTGGCCTTCGTGTCCCTGCTGGAGGAGAAGCTGCTGCCAGTACTGGTGAGGCTCGGGGGGCTGCAGGGAAGGGGCCTCACCGAGGATCAGCTCTGCTCCCAGAGCCGTGCCAGTGGGCTGGGGTGTGTGCCCAGCTGCCGGCAGAGCCAGAGAGCACTGTCAGCAGCAACGTCCGGGAGCCTGGCATGGCAAGGATGAGGCTTTGGGGATGGCAGCAGTGGGCTGTACAGCCCAGGCTGGTGTCTGCCCTTGACCCCAATGCTCCTGCAGCCCCTCGTGGTCACCAGGGTGGCTGTGCTGGCCAGGGACTCTGGTGTGTGCCCCTGCTGTGGCCAGGCTGTGCATTGTTCTCCACCACAGATCCACACCTTCTGGGTGGACGCAAAGAACTACGTGGAGCACACACGGAAGTGGTACGCAGAAACCATCCCCTTCCCCCTCAACTTCTTCCTGCCCAACGCCATGCACAAGCGGCACCTGGAGCGGCTGCAGCTCTTGTGGGGGGATGACTACATGGAGGATGAGGAGAAGCTGGAGAAGGAGGTGAGGGATGGGGTCTGGGCACAGTGGTCCTCAGCAGTGTCCAGGGGATCCCTGTGAGGCCAAAATCCAAACTGGGGTCTGGGTTCCCCCCGTCTGCTCTCCTGAGCACTGTGGTGGTTCCTGGGCAGGTGACAACCCTCTGTCCTCCTCCTGCAGCTCTACCGGGAAGCTCGGGAATGCCTGACACTCCTCTCCCAGCGCCTCGGCTCCCAGAAGTTTTTCTTTGGAGACTCGTAGGTGGTCAGAGGGGGAGAGGGGAAGGGGTCTGAGAGCCCCCAGCACCAGCAGGGCTGAGGCCCCATGGTCTTCAGGGGAGCTGCAGCCCCTGTGCATTGTTTTGGGGGTGGACTAGGCTTGCAGGGGACAGGGCACTGTCCCAAGGTGGGGTAACCCCGTGTTGTCCCCGGGGTGCTGAGGCTGGGAGTGGCTGGTGGGTCTGGGTGGCTTTGGGTGGGGACAGTGACCCAGGCACGGCTCTCTGTGCCCCAGGCCAGCCTCCCTGGACGCTTTAGTCTTCAGCCGCCTGGCGCCTCTCATGAAGGCGAAGCTGCCCAACGGGAAACTGCAGCAGCACCTGAAGTCCCTGCAGAACCTGTGCAACTACTGCACCTCTATCCTCAGCCTTTACTTTCCCTGGGACGGAGGTGAGAGCCGTCCCCTGCCTCACCCTGCAGGCTTGGGGTGACCTGTCCCTCCAGCTGTGTCCCCAACCTGCGCTCAGTCTCGGGGTGACCCTTCCCACCTACATCCCTGCTCTGCCTCTCCAGGTGATCCCCTCACCGGTGCCCCTCGGGCTGCGGGCACAGATGGCACTGAAGCAGAGGAGGACCCCCACAAACGGCGCAAGCAGCTGCTGTCAGTGCTGGTGGGGCTGGCGGCCATGCTGGGCTACGCCTTCCTGAGCGGCATCGTCTCCATCCAGCGCGGCAGCATGGAGCCGGCCGGCCGGCAGCCCGTCGCCCTGGAGGAGGAGGAAGAGGAGGAGGAGGAGTGAGGATGAGCTGTGTGACTGTTCCTCCCCAGCCCCTGGAACTGACTGGTTTTTACGCCGGGAGCCTGGCAGTGTCGCTGCCCGCGGGCGCTCTGCTCTGTCCCACAGGAACCACAGCCCTCTCCGTGGGAGCGTCCCTGCCACGCCAATAAACCTCCCTCTCTCTGTCTGCGCCCTCTCATACTCCCAGCACCCTCGAGGCCCTTCCCAGTTTCCCCAGTTGCCCAGGCTGGAGTTGTGCAGCAGGCACCAGTGTGTCCTGCCTGTATCTCTGTCCCTCGCTCCAGCCTTGGGTCTTGCTGAGGACCAGGCAGAGGAGGGACCTAAAAAGCATCTGTGGCATCTCGGCAGTGTCCCCTGTCTCTTCTCCAGCAGCTCTGGGGCTGAGCCCCATCTCTCTCCTGCGGCATTCCGATGTGGCATCCCCCCGGGCAGCACAGACAGCAGTTCTGTGGGGCTGGCACTTCCCCTCTATGCTGCTGCCAGCCCGGCTGCCCTGAGCACGGCAGCACAGCCGAGACACAAAACCAGAGCCAAGGGCAGCCGGGGCTGCTCGTCAGGACACGTCCCCAGCCCAGGAGCACTCCTCGCTGCCAGCGGGACACCCGGAGCCCCGCTCCAGCAGCCGGGATCCCTCCAGCACTGACATCTGTTTGCATTCCACCACGCCTGCCAGCGTCGGGGAGCTCCTGCAGCTGGCACAGCTGGGAGTGCATCGCATGGGCTGTGAGCGGGGTCGGGGGTGACCACCTGGGCTCCGTCTGCCCCCGCGGTCCCCTGGGCCACCCGGGGGCTGGTGCCGGTGTTGGCTGCGCTGCCGCTCCCGCTGGCCGCTGCCGGTTTACGAGTGCACAGATGGAAAGGCGGCGTGGGGCCAGCCCGGCACACAGCCCTCGCTTGTTTGGCCGCCGGCTGCCACTGCCAGCGGCATCCCAGCCCTGCTGCTGCGGTGGCTGAATGTCCCCAGGCTGCGCTGCTGGACACGCGCCTCCCGTGCCCCCCACCCGGGCGCAATGGCCAGGGGCCCCCCACAGTGGGCTGGAGCAGAGCCGTGGTGCTGGGCCAGCTGCAGAGTCTCCCCCGTACTGGGAACTGGGCCCCCACTGGGATGGGGATGACTCAGTGCAGCTCCCGCCCCCCCCCAGCACTCTCCCCTCTAACGTCACTCAGGAAGTATGTGCCCCATGCTCCCGGTTCCCATTAGCTGGAGGGGCTGATGGCTGCTCCAGCAGGAGAAACCACAGCCGCCTGCTCTGGCCGGGGAGAAGCTGGAGCTGCCGACGCCAGAGCTCTGCTCTAAATCTAAAACCTGACTGCAGCTGGGCCCCTGGTCCCTGTTAGCTTTGAGCCCTTCCCTGCCCAGGGAATGCTGCAGTGGAAGGAAGGAGGGAGATGCCTCCTCGTAGGGTGGCATCCCTACAACACCGTCCCCGTGGGATGCCCCAGGAACTGGGCAGACAAGGGATGGGACCCATGGGGCTCAAGAGGCACCATCAGCCTCAAATCTGCCTCCTCTGGCCCCTGTCATGAGGGGCCACTGAGCTGGCACTGAGAGGAGATCAGGAGTTCAGGCAAGTTTGTAGAAAACCTGTTTATTTTATGAAAACATCTGGAAAAGCACAGGCATTGCATCCCTAGGGTCAAACAGGTCCCCTGGGGCACAGGGGGCTGCAGGGGCTGTGCTGCAGCCCCAGTCCCATTGGAGTTTTCTCTCCAAGCTGCCACCAGCACCACGTTCCTGGTGCTGGCACCTCACTCCTCTGCTGCCTGGGGCCACGCTAGGCTGGCTGTTTCCAGAGGAATGTCTGGATGGAGTCGCTAGGAGCCACGGCCTCGATGAAGCCGACGTGCGGGTCAGAGATCCCGAAAGACACGTCCATGGGGGAGCTGTGGGGAAAGCGAGAGGGGATGGGGGCTCAGTGGGGTCAGTGGGGCCTTTTACCAGGGATCAGAACTGATCTACTCACCGGTTCAGGACCACCAGCACGATGGCACCATCGGGGCGCTGGAAAGCCGAGTGCTCCAGGTCACACCGGCGGCACTTCTTGGAGACGGCCAGACCCACACGCTGTGAGCCCTCGGGGATGAACTTGCTGTGGGGACAAGCAGGGTCACAGCCTGGTACTTAGGATGTGGTACTGGAGCCAGCAGAATGTGGCCCCAACACACCTGAAGTGGCCCAGGTGGTAGAACATGGGCTGCTTGTAGAAGATGTCTTTGCTGCTGTCCACAATGACGGGGCTGTCCACGTAGTTCTTGCTCCAGTTGGGGCCTCCCTTCATGTCCAGGGCCAGGTTCCAGTCAGTCCAGCCTGTCACGTAGTTGTTGAGGTTCTGCAGGGCAGAGGGTGGTACTGAGCCACAGGCAGGCCCAGGAGCTGGCCGAGTGGCCAGTGTGTCCACGGCTCCCACCAGGCCCTACCGTCAGGATGCTGTGGCTGTACTTGCTCCCACGGTCCCAGCCACCCAGCACCACCCTGGGCTCCCAGAAGTAGGAGCCTGTGGAAGCCTCTGTGGAGAGGAGGAAATAGTCCGGGAAGAGGTGATGGGTGATGGAGAGTGTCAGGTCGATGGGCGCCAGAAAATCCAGGTACCAGTGGATGCCGATGCCGCTGATGTACTTGGCAGCCACAGGGTCTTTGAGAACCTGGCAGGAGAAAAGGATTACCAGTGCCCAGGGCTGGGAGATCTGCTGTGGGGCCAGGACAGCTGCTATGGGGACTCACCACCTCAGCCCAGTAGGGCAGCATCACCCTCTGGTCATCCAGGATGATGAGCTGGACGTGGCGGTGGGAGCTGTTGGCCAGCGCCGGGCCCAGGTCCTGGGCAATGAAGTCCCGCTGGTGCTCAGGGGAGAAGCCCAGGCACTGGAAGGGGTAGAAGATGATCTCACCAGCTGTGGGCTCGTTCCCTGCCGTCACTGCCCAGAAGGTCAGGTTGTGCTTGGCATATTCATCCAGGAACCTGGTGTGGGGTAGACAATGAACGGTGGGCTCCCGTTGTACCTGTGCCAGTCCAGCTCCAGGTATGGAATTCCTGGCACCCACTGCACTCCCGTGGCCCCTCACCGGATGAAGTACTTGGCCCAGGCCCGGTGGTACTTGTCCCCAGGGCTGCCCTTCAGTGTTCCCCTCCCTGTCATCGCTCCATTCGTCTTCATCCAGACCGGGGAGGTCCAGGGGCTGGCGTACAGTGACAGTGGCCGCTTGGCCACTGCCTGGGCTGCTTGGAGGATGGGGATCTAGAGAGAAGTGGGATGGGACAGAGCTCTCTGGGTCTATCCCAGTGCTGGCAGTGCAGGCAGCAGGAGGAATCATCTCCCTCCCTAAAGGTGAGAAGCTGCTCCCCATCCCATCCCATCCCATCCCATCCCATCCCATCCCATCCCATCCCATCCCATCCCATCCCATCCCATCCCATCCCTTCTCCCACACAGGTGGAAGGATGAGACCTGTCCCTCCTAATCAGCAGGAAGGAAACCCCTTTCATGCCCTGTCCACTCTATCCCATCCCGTCCCACCCCATCCCACCCAGGCAGCAGACCCAGTCCCTCAGACTCTTCCTGCAGGACTCACCTTCATGTGTGTGTCCTCCTCTGTCAGGTTGAAGTGCCTCAGCTCAAAGTCGCCTTCAGCATCAGCGTAGGTGTACAGGCGGATGGAGAAGTCAGTGCTGGCCATGGGCACACGCACCAGGTTGTACTCAATGCCTGAAGACAGGGCGGGTGGTGATGGGCATCATCGAGTTGCATTTGGAGGTCCAGATGCCCCAGCCTCTCAGAACAAATGTCAGCAGCCAGACCCCAGCTCTACCACCCAACAGCGTTGCCTGCCCTGGGCTCACCTTCCTCGGAGAAGTAGGAGCGGAGCAGGTGGTTCTGGGCATCCTTGGACAGGGACTGGATGTTGATGGCAGCTGCATCAGTGATGGAGCCACCAAACCCCTTCACCTTCTGGTACCTCTGCGCTGTGTCCAGGGTGAGGTGGAAATCTGTGGGGACACACAGTGTCACCATCCCTGCCGTGTAGGACAGGCTCTGTCACAGCAGGTGCAGCCAGGGTGGTACCTGGGCTCTTGGTGTTGTGCTGGAATCTCCCCTCGCTCCTCTCCAGCCGCTTGCCAGCCTTGCTGCTCTCATACTTGACATAGGAGCCGGGGGCTGGCAGGACCAGGGGGTCCAGAGTGTCACAGTACGTGGCACTGCAGGCGCAGACCAGTGAGCCGTGCCCAAAATCCTTGGCATCACAGGGACGGCCACCTGCAGCGGAAGAAAGACCGGGTGGGCACCGAGGGCTGTGGCAGGAGCCCAGCTCATCCCTTTGATCCATGTCAGACTCCAAATCCACCACCCTCCAAAGCCCAGGGCCACGTGCCAGCACGTACCTGTGGCCTGCAGGGCTGCCTGTGCCAGCAGGAGCCAGCCCAGGACACTGGCACAGCCTGTCCCCATGGCACCTCTGCTGCAGCGCTTCAGACGATGCCGACGGACACTCTGGAGCAGGGGGAGGTGTCAGCACGCAGAGCTTCTCGGCCTGACCCATCGCCACACAGGGACAGGGAGAGCCCCGGCACCCAGGGACTAGACCCCCCCTGCCAGGGCTAAGCCTGTCCTGCCCTTTGCCCACTCCTCCAGCCCAGCACTCACCTTCCCTCCCAGCCCTCCGGAGTCTACCACCAGTTCTGGCTGTGTCCCAGGTGGGAGTGCAGCCCCCAGGTGTGAGCCACCCCACAGCCCGCTGTTCCCAGCCACCCACGCTGGCTGTACCCAGCAACTTTGTTCACTCCCATCAGCTCCCTCCCACTCCTTCTCCCTCCTCACTCGTTCCACAGCTGTGCCATGCCGTGTCACGCCATGCAGCATCACCCCATGTATCCCCACTGCCTCCCGAGCCGTGGCTAGGAGCAAACAGCTCCATACGTGTGTGGCAGCTGGGGTTTGTCCAGCCAGAGTCGTCTGGGGCTCAAGCCCCTGGCATGGAGAGTCCCACATTCCCCTGTTCTGTGCAGGTGTTCACACCCTGTCCTGTCCTTCCCGTGGTGCTGGGCAAGGAGCCTCTCAATGAGAGCACAGGAGGAGCCACCTCCAAGCCTCGGGGCCCTGGTGCCAGACTGAGGACACCTGGGGACCTCTGCCAGGGTGGTCTTGCTGCTCCCCAAGATCTTGTGGGATGTGGAGTGGGGCCAGGCAGCTGTCCCACCTCCACTGCCTCCCACTCCCTGCCCGGGAATGATGCCCAGCTTGGCCAGGGCATGGCCTCAGCATGGTTCTGCTGCCCAGGACTGTCCCATGCCCATCCCTGTTCCCATCTCTATCCCCATTCCTACCTGCTGAAGCTGCCTCGGATCC